GCTGGAAGAGAAGAATGGCAGGGCATGCGTATACAGTAATACTTTTTTGTTCCGGCACACTCATGAAGTAGGTAGGTGGTAATATGCTCACACTCAGAGCAAGTTTAAGTAATTTTGCTTAAGGTCAGTGGTATTTATATGGCATTGGCAGAAACATGAACTGACAGACTTCAGAGTCTGTAGTCCATGTTCATAACTGTCGCATGCCGCGTTTCCACCATTATGATGCACTCTGATGAGTGCTTCTGTGAGAGGTATATTTAAAGGTTGGATGGTGGGTCAGAGGAGGCACACTTAACTCACTGGAGAAGGCTTTAGCAAGGCTGTCCGTGGGTGATATGTGTGATTCAATTTTTGGAAGATAAGTAGAGTTAGCCATCTTAAGGTGATGAATGAGATCGTGACCCATAAACCATAAGCAGTTGTCATGGCTGGAATGTAGGATTTATGTTTGAGAAGTGGAGAGATGAAACTAGATCACAAATGGCCTTACCTGCCATTCAACAGAATGTGGATTAAAGTGTGAAGATAATGGGAACCATCGAAGGGTTTATGTGGGGTTTGATCTGAAAGAATTTTAGAAAGGTTACTCGGAGTGCATTGTAAAGAATAGACTGGGAAGATGGGAGACTAAAGGTAAGATAAGTTAGGAAGCTCTTGGGGCAGGCGAGAAAAAAAGTTAGCAAGCTCTTTTGGAAATTTATGAGTCAAGAGAACCCGAGCCAAGGCAGAAAATAGAAGCATATAGAGTTATCAGGAGATAGAACTTGTAATTTGGCGTTCATTTTAATAGGGTAGGTAAGAGAGAGGCAAAGGTAACTCCCAGCTTGCTGACTGGGGTGGCTGATCTTGATCAAGAACTAAGCTAGGAGTAAGATTGTGCGTAAACAGAACGATGAAGTCAGATTAATAAACGGTTCGAGGCAGCTTTGCTGCTTAAGAGTGGAGTTGCCCAGGTGTCAGTTCATCATACACGGGAGTCTGTAGCTCAAGAGAAGGGGGCTACCAGGCTGGTTTAGATTTGGGAATTGGCAACACATGGTAAAGTCTGGAATGAGAAGAGAAAGGGGAGCAGAAAATAAAACTCCAGAAAATACTGACATTTATCAATGATCCAAGGAAGGGAAAAGCCTGTGAAAAATGGTGATGATGGGAAGAACCAAGGAGGGGGACCATCATAAATAGTGAAAGAGAAGAGAGACATTTTTAAAAATCGGTGAATTATGGTACATTTATATAGGGGAATGTTATGAACAGTATATAGTCATATAAGGATCATGTATTTAAGGAATACTGAATGAATGTGGGAAGAGACTCAGGATATAATTTTAAAAAGTCAGGATAACTGTAGTAAAATCCCAGTTTTGTAACAATAAACATGAATGTGTTTATACGTATGCATAGAAGGAAATTTAGAAGACAGTACCTTAAAATTTTAAGTTTCTCTGGTGACAGAATCCTGTTTCACATTTCTTTATTTTATAAATTTTCCATAATGAACGTATATTATTTGTTGTGAGAGAAAAAATACATATATAAATTAAGTGGATTCAGTCAAAACTAATTTCTAGAGGAAATGTTAAGTGCAAAAATTGCTCAAAAGGGTCCATTTGACTTATGAACTAGGAGGTCATTGGTGACCTCAGAAAATTTTCAGAGTCATAATGGGATCAGAAACTAGGGTTAAAAAAAGAATGGAAAGCAGAAAATGGAGATGATGAATATAAAAAGTGCCCTTTCAAAAAGCTGATGAAGACATTAGAAGGCGGGGTGGTGAGGGATAAAAAATTACCTATCTGGTACAATGTACACTATTCTGGTGACGGGTGCACTAAAAGCCCTGACTTCAGCATTATACAGTTCATCCTTGGAACAAAAGACACTTGTACCCACTAAGTCTATTGAAATTTTTCAAAATGTAAGGAAATTAAAATCATTAAGAAATTAAATAAAGGCATTAGGGAGGTGGGACTAAGAATTTTTTTAAGTTGAGAAGAACTGGAAGCATGCTTGTTTGTATGCTGAAGGAAGAGAAAGTAGATAAACTATGTTCAGAATGAGTCTGTTTGTGATTGGGTATGATCATGTGCAGTGTAGTAACAGGACATGCCTGAGTGCAATTTGATTGAGATCTTATAATTAACATACAGCACATTTGTTGAACTCAGAAACAGTGAGTGTGTATAGTGTGAAAATAGACACAAGTAGAAAGCGATTGGCCCTTTGTAGAGGAAAAATTTAGTTTTTCCTAACCTCCAAAGCAGTTGTAAAAACCTCTTTACTTAAATGGCTAATAAAAGTATAACTGGTCTCTGTTTTGAATAATTATGTTTGGGGTTTAATTGCTTCCTTCTGTTCTCATTGAATATATTTGTCAGATTAATACAGGAAAACGCCAGGGTTTGTTATCATAGTTTATCAGCTAGAAATGGTCAGTATTTGCCAAAAGAAATAAAGCAGCGCCTGGATCTTCCTGGGTAAGATGATGATGTAGCCTTAGTCATTCTTTAAACTTAGTACATTAAATGATAAACAGGGAATCCTGCAAAACCTGGCAGCTATGTATGGAGGCAGGTCCAGCTCTGCAAGAGGAGGGAAGCCGAGAAACAAAGAGGAAGAGGTACGCTTCCCGCATGCTCGCCACCTCCGTCATGCAGCCATTTTTGAGTTTATTGCCTTTGTTTCTTGCATGGTTTAAATTCTTAACAATTATTTGAAAATTTTGTAGGTCTATAGGGACCTGTTAATATATTTCACTGACATACTGTGTCATAATTTTGCCCCATAACTGCTATTTGGTATTCTGAGTTCAATTTCTTTTCTTTTGATAAAATCAAATATTTGTAATTATAATGTATTTCTTTTCAGAAATAAATTGCTCTAAATTAAACACTTGAAAGCTAATATTACATTTCCATTAACCAGATTTCAAAACTTTTATTTCTTATATTCAGATTAACATTTTTCCTTAAATTAAAAAA